AACCCGGAACCCTAAACCCTAAGTTTGCGGTCCCTAGGGTGGATGCACATAAATTTTAAAGCAGTGACACGTGGCCTTCTCTGTGAAGACAATTTCACAAATTTGCCTACGGGTTCTTAGTAGGGAATAAGGGACAGGGTTTAGCGTTTATAGAGTTTATATATATATATATCTATCTATCTATAGGGATTATACAGCCACATCTTCCCTTATTCCCTACTAAGAACCAGTCAGTTTGGGCTGGCAGTTGTGGTGGGTCCTGATACGTACTGACTGTCGCACACACACACGCACACAAGACTTACCAGTAGCGAGTCGAGCACGCAGAATGGCTCTAGCTGGTCCAACTGGGCTCCTGTATTCGTGAATGCCCGTTAGCTTCGCAGCTGTGAAGAATCTCAGCACGCGCTAGGGTCCATAAGATCCAAAGCGTTGAGATAATTTGCTCATGAGGCTATGAGACTTTTGAAAGATGTGCAACATGGCTCTCTCTCAAACTTAGGTGGGAAGGACGTGGGGGCCTGCTTTTCACAGTTTTATGATTTTCGTGAATCCTCCAAATGCAAACCTTCACACAACAGTTTCTAAGTTTGTAAAAAGTTTGAATTGTGGTAGGATACACCCCACGACTCTTGACCCAAGCCCTTGACGCAAACTGGCGGCGAACTTGGTTGTTTTTTTACTAGTAGTAACAATAACAATACTACTGTAACTAGTATAGTACGTGAACCCCAAACGTATGCAAAATAATGGCCTTTTGGGCTGTTTCATGGGGTTTTGGGGTATCAGTTTACCTACTTTTGGGGCCCAGGCAATATTTGATACTATACTTTGACCCAGACTCTCGGAGAACATGCTTGTCATTGGCTCGACAAAGCTGAAAGAGGATCACCAAACTTCAAAACGCGACTCCCCCAAAAGCCTCCACTCAGACTAATGACTAACACAAAAACTCGAAAGATGTTGCGCGAAGATCTTCAGGGTTTCAATGTTACGTAGCCAGTTTGGGGAGATAACCCTAAACCCTAAACCCTCTCTGTTTAAAGATTGCCTCTCAGAAGCCCTCATGACTGCCTGGTTCGGCAGGTAGAATGGTCGAGGCCTCCAGAAAAGTTGAATTTGGAACAGAAGGTTCATATATAATTACCAAGGCGTCTAGGGTTTAGGGTTGAGGCAAATAATCGCCGTATAACACCTATTATAGCCCCTTAGAATCCCTATGTAACCCCTTCTTATTCCCATATCTTGGTCAATGTCTCGATGCTGGTGAAGCTTCACGGCTTGATTGGTTTATAGCGTAGACTGACTGTATACATCTTGTGGCCACACATATATGCCGGGGGGTTCTTGAAATTGGGGGTACCATTTTGAAGGTCCCAATAGTGAGGACTATAGTATTTGGCGGGCTCATATTTGGGTACCCCTATTTGGGGAAAAATATAGACTGACATGCCAGAGAACGCCATAAACAAAACCCGCACCCCAGGTTTCTCAAAATTGGGCTCTTCGGCGCTGCAGAGATGTGTGGGCGCTGCAGAACAGCATATGAACTAACGTTAATATGTCCAACAATTCCCCTCAACCCTAAAACCTAAACCCTCAACCCCATTCATGGACATGGGTGCTTGTTGGGGAACAAACATATCAGGGACTACACTACACTACCAAAGAGGAGCCCGATGTCCGAGGCTCTTTATGATACCTTGGAAAGCCTGATACTGTCAGTAGCTCAAATAAGCTATAGTCTAAACTCCTAGTATCCCACTGAATAACCCCTATCATACTCTCCTATAGATTCCCCTCTAAAACCCCCTCTAAGGAGTTTAGACCATAGCTCATATGTGGTCCATACTAAGGATTCTGTAGGGGCCATGTCGAGAAAGTCCGAAAGCTTGCCAGTACAAACGCCAAGCAATGCCTTGGTAGCGCCGTAGCCATCTTGCACTTATCCCCTCCCCTAATATCAAACACCCCCACCCCTCCTGAAATCAAATATTCCAAATATGATATATAATATGATATACCACACTGGGGAGTATGTAGTATTAGGGGGGAGGGGGGGGCCTAATATTAGGGGAGGGGATAAAGGGTATATACCCTTTTCATAGTTGATGAATCTTACAAAGTAGAAACCCAGAATACGAAAAGGATAAAGACGTAACTCCGGGCTTCCTAAATGCTTACCCTGGCTCACAAAGGTCATATTGCAACGTGTAGCCCTAAAACTCAGGCCGACATGGCTTGAATACCGTCCGCATGGATTCCGAAACCTCCAACGATTCATAGTACACATGAGGATTTGGGGATGACAGACAACCGCTGGTATCTCAAAATTGGGACCGCTTCAGCATTGTACAGGGGCTTCATGGAGAAACTCGCCAGTCAAGTGCCCTCTGCAAGAAATGATTTATCCTGAGCTCCCAGCGTCAGACACTCCAACCGCGCGAGCCCTGATTGCAGGGATCAGGCCATGTAGATCCCCTTTGGGTATTTAATGCACCGTAGTACCAGAAAAAACATAACTACCCCAAAAAGCAACTGCATGGGAGCCTCTGGGTAGGGATAGGATTCGTCCGGTTTGCTAGCGCTTGTGTCCCTGCACTTCGTTATGGGATGAGGCATGGTTGAGGCATGGTGCTGGCCATTCAATCCCCTCAGGCTTGCGCTATATGGCAGGTTTTAAGGTTACTGCACTGAGATAGCAAGCTGAAACAAGATCACAGGCACGTGCGTAACTAAAAGTACATGACAACAGGATATGCTACACATGATGAAGCTGGGCTTGCAGAAGTTCAGCCGCAAAGTAGGTGGTCTTTGCATTCTAGCATACAATAGTATGCGGCAGAATATTATATTATACACACCGATGATTCTGGGCTACTACAAGGATACCTAATATTGGGGGAGGGCTGTGTTTAAGTGGAAGCGGAGGGGATATGACCATCAAGGTAAGCATGCCATGAAAAGCAAGTGTTCTCTATAACAGCAAACACAGGAAACTACAGGATGATACCTACAATATCACAAAAACCCCCTAAACCCTAAAGCCTACACCATGCAAGCCCAATTTTGATTTCATGTGCTATTTGTTTCCCCATTAGCTATAACTTCGGCTTGCCCTGCCCCAGTCACAAACCACCCCAGGGTGTAGGGTTTAGGGTAGGAATCATGGACAAGAAGCTGGAAACTAAATACCCCTGACTTACCCATTGACGGAAAGATTTCACAACCAAGGGCCTCGACAAGGTGATGGCGGCAGCCCGTCAGAGTCTCCGAGCGATTCGACACCAGCAATCTGATTTCCAGAAATGGTTAAGTAGGCGATTTGGACTGAGGGTGAAGGTTTTGTTTTGGGGGCTTCGGGTACGGGTGCGAATAGGGGAGCCTGCCCAAATGTCTCCAAACGGATGGATTTGGTACATGAGCAAGACGAGGCCTGGGAATTTCTTGGCAGAACTGTTGGTTCGCTGCTTTATTCTTTTCATATTCAGGGCTAAGGGTTTACAGTTACCAGGGATCATTGCAATATCCTTGCACGATTTCCACAATCTTCCGGTAACGGCCCCAATGACCCATTCTGTCACTTTGATGCTTGTAACTTTGGGCGTTTGTTTTACCCACTTGGTGCTTAGGTGGGTATGGATTCTTGAAACACTGGTTTTTGCAAGCCTTGGGTCTGCAAGCTCTGCATGAGCTGCTCCTTACTATTCACTCCATCTGATAGTTTGTGACTGCTGTCAATATAATGTTGCATACCTTCAGGGTCTAAGTAGCCCAAAGCGCTCACAAGTGAACCAACCAATTTGTGGGCTTTCCCAAATTATTGGTACCATCTCAGGGACCCCTACAACAAGGGGTCTAGAATTTGGGGGTTTGTATGGGGTCCCCCTATTTGGGGAACCCTAAACCCAAAGCCCTAAACCCTACGCCCTAAACCCTTAACCTTAAGCCCTAAAACATACTACCATTTGAAGCCGTAGCTCCTAAGCCCCCAAGCTGGCCCTGATCTAACGATGCGAAGCGCGATGGCAAAATGGTCAACTGTTTAGGGTTTAGGGTGTAGGGGAGTCTCAGTGAGGGGGGGGTGCGCTGGTGCTGGACGCACCCAGGCGCACCTCAACCTGCATGAGCCCACCCCCGCTGGCGCTCCGCCCTTGCCTCGACCTTTATGGGTTTAGGGTTCTCTCGAACTCTGATCGCGCTCCTGTCTCCTTATTTGATTTTTGCACCTGCAAGGTTTGGGCGGGTCTAGTTCAAGGCTTCTTGTGTTTATTCTGAGCCTTGCCTGGAGGCCGTGGAGCCTTCAACCAGTTGGACATGTCCAGACTAGATGGGTGCTAGGTTTGGGTTTGGGGCCTCTAGTTTCCTTCAGATGGGGCCTTAGGGATGCCTCCAATCCTGAACAAATGGACCTGTCTAGACCAGGCGCGTGCAAGTTTGGGCTGGATCTGGCTCGAGGCTTCTTGTGCTTATTGAGATTGAGCCTTGCCTGGAGGCCTTCCAGCCTTGGAGCAGTTGGACCGGTCCAGACTAGACGGGTGCAAGGTTTGGGTTTGGGCTGGCAGGCCTCTTGTTTTCTTGAGATGGAGCCTTGGCTGGATGCCTCCAATCCTGACTAAATGCAGCTGTAGACTCTAGACCTAAGGTGGGTGCAAGTTTGGGCAGGGTCTGGCTCGAAGCTTGTTGTTTCTTCGAAATAAAGCCTTGGCTGTTTTTGAGAGGCCTTGGAAGGCCGTGAAGGTTTAAGAAGCCTGACGTTTCAGCCCCGAAGCTCTCTGGGGTTTTGGAGGCTTTCAGCCCACAGCTTTTGGAGGAGTGGGAGCCCTGAAAGGGCCTGGGAGGTGCCTGGAAAAAAAGCCTCGCGGTCCCGTTTTTCTTTTAAAGGCTTGAGCCGCCCGCTAGAAGGCTTTGGGCTCCGGAGCTGCCTGGCCTCGGCGCGTTCGACCGGCTCGACGGCCCCGGGCTCGGTTTAGGGTGTAAGGGTATAGGGTTTAGTGGTTTAGGGTTTAGGTTAGGGTTTAGGGTTTAGGGGTTTAGGGTTTAAGGATGGGGTTTAGGGTTTAAGGTTTGGGGTTATAGGTTGCAAAATATGCTTGTTAGTTCTACAGAACCTGCCTTGGGGCTGCCAGGCTGACAAAGGCGCAAAGCTCTCGCACTTCATACCGCAAGCTCGGCGCTGCTACGTCTGCCCCAGCTGCGTGTTCCTGTACTTGAAGGCCCATGGGACTTAGTAAGTACTTATAACTGGGATTCTAACCCTACTTATACTTGGGGTAACCCCTATAAGCCCACTTAGGGGGATTAAAAGTAGGGTTATAAGCCCAGTTATAAGTGGTTACTAAGTTCCATGGGCCTCCAAGTAGGAGGCGCATCGGGCTTCCGCGGAACGCGAAGCGCGTTGACCCACAATATCCCGCAATTTACCGCATCAAGCTTTCACATGCAGATCTCGTTAATGCCAACTAATTAAGCACGTTGTGACACTTTGTGTAGCTGTCAGTGCGTACCACAATAACAGCATTCCTCAACGCGGTGGTAGGGAAGAAGGGAATAGATTAGAGAAGGATTTTATGGGGAGTCTACTCCCTTATTCCCTACTGAGAACCAGTAGGTACACCTAGACCCTTGTTGGCCAAAACTCTTATAGGAACCCTTTTGGGTACCCGGACTCTTACGTAGACCCTTATACCCCATACCCGCCTTGTTAAAGACACCTCACTTTGTGTCTAGCATCTCCTATGCACAATAGGTATCCCCCAAAAAAGGGTTCGGTTGAGAGATAAAGGGAGCAAACAGCATCCCTAAACTGCGCAGGCACCAAAACGTGAGCTTCAGCAGAAACGGGTTGGTACAGCTCACAAATCTTACAGTACGGGTAAGTGTTTAGGGTTGAGGGTTTAGGGTTATTATTTGCGTCCTGCTAGAGCTTTAAATAAGATCTTGGGCGTGGAATGAATATGGTAGTTTCCCGAAATAGGGGGACCCCAATATAGACCCCAATATACTATAATCCGTATTACAAGGACCCCCAAAATGGTACCCCTAATTCTGGGAAACTACCATATGCATTCCTGGCTTCTGGATGAAGTTTCCAAGAGGCACTTCCCGTACTCCCAACACCCAATTTGCACATCCTTAGACTCTGGAACCCCTCAAACTTAACCCTTCACAGCGCTAAAACCCTGAACCCCTAAACCCCCAAACCCTGAACCCCTAAACCCCCAAACCCTGAACCCCTAAACCCCCAAACCCTGAACCCCTAACTGAAACCTTGAAACGCCTGAAACCTGCGGCCTCCGTGAGGTTGGCAACAAGATCGGCGAGGTTGAGGTTCGCCGCGCGGTCTCCAACCCGGCCTGTGCAGTTGATTGGAAAATCTGGTCTGTAGGGTTTATATGGTTTACACGGCTTTATACGGGTTCTAGGGTCTATAGGGCTTCAAAGGATTTTCAGGGCTTGTGGGGCTTGGAGAATTCAAGATTTTTTCGGGGGGCTCGAGGTTTGGGGCTGAAGTGCAGTTTTCCAGCTTGACCGGTCACCTCAAGCTGTTCCTTGGTGGCATGCGAAGACGGCACGAGATCTCAAAATTGTAAGAGTATACTGAAAAACTAGCCCAGACCCACCTCCTACCCTCTATTACAGCCTAAGTACCCACTATTAGGGACCATATATCCCCAACTAAGGGTACAAGGAAGCTCCTGGAGTAGAGTTTACTGACATGACAAGGTTCGATATCATGCCAGCCTTGGGTTACCAAGGCTGGAGTACGGGACTTAGGGTTTAGGGTTTAAGTCAAAAAGTTGCGCAAATACAGCTACGAATTCAAAGGTACGTCGATCAAAAGCCTGGGCATTACCCCAAAAAACCTGAGCGATGTTTTAAAATCCCAGGGTCGGAGGGGTTGGGGGTCTAAGTTGGCTGGCGAATCTATCTTACCTGGACCCCAAAGGTATGTAGAATAATGGCCTTTATGGCTATTATTATGAGTTTAGGGCTGTTATGTTGCATATTTTTGGGGTGTAGGTAAATCATACCATACCAGGAAAAGGAAACAATCTTACTCAGTAGTGCGGAAACAAGCATATAGGATCCGCCAAAAATGCTACTCATGTGCATGCATTCCCCAAATCAGTCGATGCTTGCCTTCGCTGAAGGCTCGATGGACGACTTCATCGACTTCGTCCCAGGTCTCAGCAAACCCGGTGTCGTGAACCACTAAACCAACCCTCAACCCTAAACTCTAACCCCCTAGACCCAATACGGTTTTGTAGGGGGTCTTTTGGTGTTTCCAACCACAGCGATGAGGACCCTAGCTTGGTCTTTCTGATAGCTTTAAGGTCCTAGTCTTGTGGGTTTGGGGCTTAGGGTTTTGGGCCCACTTGGATTCCCGGGATCTGTGGAATAATAGCCTCTTGGTTGGGGTGTTGGGCTATTGTTTTACCTAGTGACGGGGTCCTGGTATTCGTCTACGAATGATATTATGAGAAGGATGTTTCCAGGCGCGGCTATTGGAATCCTATATCCACCCATTGTAGAAGCCTAAAGGGTTTAGGGCTCAAGGTTTGGGATACCTCATGTTCTACTAGGGTATGAACTGAGACTGTGAACATTTATAGGGATATTACCCCACAATGGAGAATCAAATGGACAAGAACATGGAACATTGAATGGAAGCTAGGTTTGTATATGTTTTTAGAAGGATTATTCTAAACCCTAAACCCTAAACAATTACACATGTCACCTTGAGGTCGATTTGAAGTACACTGTACCAGAGTTCTATAAGGCATCTAGGACCATAATATCGGGAACTGTTTAGGCTTCTATATGAGCTATAGTTCCCCCTAATAATGGAGAATCGAATGGAAAAGAACATGGAAAATGAAATGGAAACTGGGCTTGCACATAGGGGATTATATGGGTTATAGTCTAAACTCCTAGTATCCCCCTTAATATCCCCTATAGTAGTCCCCTATAATACCCCCCTCTAAGGAGTTTATACTATAGCTCATATGATAGTTGGCTTGCCCTTGTTCTACATTGAGGCCACGCCAGGGTGTTCTTTTACCTCATTGGCCACTGCAGGCCCAAGGGTTTGGGGTTTAGGGGGTTGGGTTTAGGCTTTAGGGCCCAGATGGCAACTGTATCTACTGGACACCGACTACACAACCCTTCTACCCGGTTTAGGGTTTAGGGTACTGTGCCACCAAAGACCCAAAACGCACTACCCTGCAGTTCAGCAGCCCAAAGTGGCCAGGCTACTACTCAAGCCTCCGAACACAACTTAGAAGCAGGTGCCTGAACAGCATCGTTGTCAAACCCTGAAACCAACACCATGCAGCTAACTGAGGAGCCCAAGTCCTGGCTAGCCGAAATTGTTTAGGCAAAAGACCTCTGGTGTGCGACGTACGCCGCCCTGTGGCTTCATGCACATGCCTTTTCTGCAAGTGTCTTCTTCGTCGCGTTGAGCTCTCAGAAAACCTTGGTAAGGATTGAACATGCTGCGGGAGGCATCTGTACATTCGTAGTTTCCAACGGAGCCGAGCAGAACCACGAAGGTGGAGGAATCGGATGCTGGATCCGAAGCATCAACAGAACAAGTTCATCCCCAAGGCTCTTCACCTTGATTGCGTGGCCTTGCTCGGAGGCTGATGCGGAACTCATTAGATGTTCCGCACCACCGTTGGTCTACTGGAAGAGCTACACTGGAACCTTCGCCCTCCGCACCCTGCACGGGCCCATGCATTCAATTTGCCGTCTGCTTCGTGCGGGCAAGACTGACTATTGTGTTGAGGCGTCTGCTCGTATCAGCCTTTGCATCGCTGTTCCTACGAGACCTGGCCAGGTGTCGCAAGCACGTGGATCGCGTGTATGACCCAGGTTGTTCCTACAGTAAACTTCGAGGCTTCTCCTAATATTCACCTGTCCAGAGTACTGTTGCATTGTTGGTGTTCTTCAATGTTCTTCATATATTCGCGACTGCTGCTTTGCCTGTCCGCGCATCTTTAGGGCACTTTGCCCACAGATCTCTTTCAGCGCTTGACGAGAAGGCCTATCAAAACCAAGGTTTACATCCTAATATGAGTGTGGTGTGTGGCACCCAGTAGATGAGGCACAAAAGGCGCACACTTCTGAAAACCACTCCTGGATGTGTAGCCTGCAACTATCAGAGCAGGTTTGCGACTCTTGGCCATGCGTCGTGACTTAGCGGTTGGAGAGCATGGAAGGATCGCGCGCGCGGGATTAATCCGCGTTGGGTTCAGACTCGGAAGTGGACTTCCCGATTCTTTCAGCCTGGAACCATGTTTCCGATTGAAAGCGAGACCGGCTGAAATGGAAGTTCTCAAAGCAACCCCTTCTAATCCTTATAAGGACCCCCAACACCCCCTTCTAATCCCTACATATCTGTAGGGTGGCCCCTAAAGGGCTCCCTTTTTGTACAAACTCGCAAATAACTCATGGGTACTGCCCCGCCTATACTACCCCTGCTAGGAACCTAGGAAATTTCCTCAGAGGGCTTATGTAGGGCTATATGAGGATATAGAAGATTAAAAGACAGAATAAAAGAGAATTCGATGGAATACAAAATGGAAGCTGGCACGATGTAGAGGTTTATAGCCAGGTATATTACCAGACACAGGTGATATCAATAATCGCAATTATGAGAGACCATGGGATATTGCCAGGTTATAACTTGGGTTTTCCCTACCTAGAGGTCACGACCTTGGGCGGCACGTCAAATTTCAAAGCCCTCAGCCCCAAATCCATCTGTCTGATTAAGTCGAAGAAGCTCTCAGATCCTTAAAACCCTAAACCCTAAACCCTACTTGGATGCCCATGGGACTTAGTAACCACTTATACCTGGGCTTAATTATAACCCCCTACTTATAATCCCCCTAAATGGACTTATAAGCCCCCTAAATGGACTTATAAGGGTTGCCCCAATTATACATAGGGTTATAATCCCAGTTATAAGTAATTACTAAGTCCCATGGGCCTCCAAGTAAATCATAAACCCTAACCTCAACTCCAGCATCCTAAAGACCCTGGTAGTCCGTCTATAATGCTCTAACAACCAAGACCCTCCTAGTACCC